ATGTGGTTTATTTGTGCTAAATATGTATATCAATAAACAATTTAAAATAATAATGTCTACTTCCTTCAATTATACCGTAATCATAGAGAAGTAAAAAACTGAATGTAGGAAACCAGTTGCACCGAACTGCGCTGTTGCTGCTGCTATCTGTTTTTACTTTTGATGATCCCTTTAAATTTGTCTAATATATCAATCAGATGCTTCTTCTCTTCGCTAAGCTTCTTTTTTTGTGAAATAATGTAGTAGTTGAATGTGATAGACGTAATCTACAATCTGCAACCACTTCTTTGTGATTGCGCAGTAATTCGAGGAAGTAAACACATTATTATTTTGCATTTGTTGATATTCATCACAAATAAACCAAGTCGTCCCCATTTCATGATCAAAATGCTAAATAGATACCGTCAGCACAGAAAAACCTTTCTGGCATCAATGATACGTTGTGTTGACAACTACGGTTGTGAAATGAAAATAGGAATCCCCCCTTGAACGTTCCTCAACGAAGCGTCATTGTTTCACTGTTTCCAAGAAACTGTCTTACATCCGTGGTTTCCAAGAAAGTCTCAAGCCTCAAGGAAGGTCTATAAATCCGACTCAGTACCATACTTTTGAAATTCTTCTCCAAGTTCGAAAAGGATTATAGGAAAAACTAATAAAAGAAAATGGGGGTCCTTCACGAATGGCTAAAATAGGTGATGCCTTTCAGAATACGAAGTATACAGGGTGGTCAACTAAGAATGCGAGGTACTGTATCTGGGAAATAGTTACTACTAAACCGGTCAAGAGAAAAACCTGAAAATATTTTCAAGTTCCTGAAAAAGCCGCTAAGGGCCGTAACTGCAATCTTGAATCTAAAAAAGTGATGTTTCTGTTAACTCTGCTATATTAACCTAACAAAAACTTGTTCTTTAAATTCGAGGACAAGCTGAACCTACCTTGTTTGGCAATTTTTGCTGTAAGTGTCTCTGAAAATAAAATTTTATCTGGTAATCCCTTGAATTTTGAAAGAGCTATTCTTGGGCGACAAATAATATATGAAGTTTTGTTAGATTCACGTGTGGGCGCTAGAGGGCTATTTTCGACATTCCAACATAAAAAAGTAGTTAAATGATGTCTAAACAATTTAAATGTTTCTGAAATTACTTTATATTATTAAATTGTGGTCCTAAAAACAAAACGACCGATTAAAAAAAGATTTTAATTCCCCCGTAAATGCTCGAAATGCTGACCATCACGCTCTATGCATTCCTGAAGCCTCTCATGGGTAGACAAAACTGTAGCGGCTCTCGGTATGTTACTTCTTGAATCCGGTTTTCCGTATCTTCTCTGGTTGTAAGTTGAGCCTGAAACACGATGTTCCTTAACCGTCCCCATAAATAGAAATTAAGACAAGATACGTTTGGTGAAACATCCAATCTATCGCTGTTGAAATACTTCATTAGTATGCTCTCGCACAATAATAGCAAAACTTGATGGGCAACCATCCAACTGCAGAATAAGTTTTGCCGTGTTTCCAGTGGCACATCTTCCAACAACAACCCGCACGAATATTGCGCAACATATCGATTTTTTTGATATTGTATTGGTTTTTTGTAGCATTGTGTAGGTTTTTCTACAAGATGTTAACTTAGCACTAGCTGATGGACACGTTGCGAAATAGTTTTGTAGTTTTACGTGTTGCCTAAACGTCATGAGGCTTCAGTTATCAATGTTTGGCTCTCATGTGATGTAAGATCTGCTTCAAGGATGGCATTACTGGAGGTAACGACAATACATAGGTGCATGGTGACGATTTGTGTGCTAATAATATGTGTTGATGATAATTCGGTTGGATTCTTGTCTCAAATACATTTACTTGAGATCCAAAGCTAGAAATTGCGCATCCATTTTTTCCTATCCATTCTGGACATTACATAATGCAAATTTGCTGAATTTTAAAAATGAGAAGGATAAAAAATAATTATATTCACTGTACACTATCGAATTACAAGTTATATACATGCTAACAGCAATTACACACAACGCGGGCGCAGTGGTGATTTCCCGTAATTCACCTCAGCTTTTGAAAACACAAAAAACGTAAGAAATAGTAATTTATAACTTTGAACATAACCTGCCTTCAGAATAGATATACTTCATTGGCCGCATATTCAGTAATGATTTTCTTACACAGTAAATATCATTGATTTTGTACACATGCATACCAATACATACAATCATCCAGATGCGATCTTGCTATTCAACCAGAGATGAAAACTATAGCCTACTCGGCTTCACAGAACATACATATGCAACCGACGTAGTGGCGTAAATGAACCATTCTTCCATAGATGGACGCTCACAAAGATCGTAGTGAGCAAACCACGGAATGGCGGTACACTAAGAACTACCTACTCTGTAAGATGTTGTTTGTAGGTTTTTTTTTGACGTTTTCTAGGTTTCTTACATAATACCCGTGCGGTAATTGATTTTACAAAAAACCAAGAAAGACATTGCCATTTGGGGATTGCCTGAAAAAATATGGCCCAATAATTCTGCCTTCCAGTATGTCACACAACACATTTAAACTCCAACACCCTCGGAGCTGAACTTCACGCAACCAATGCAGATTTTCCGTAGAACAATAATGCATATTGTGCAGATTGACTCTCCCGTCACTATCAAAGGTGGCTTCATCCATCCAAAGAATTTGAAATAAAAATTCTCTATTTTCGCGTATCATGATGCCTAACATCCAATGGCAATAATAGTATACTTAATTAAAAAAGTTAAATTCAAATAAATCCCTATATTTTGATTAGAACTTACCTGTGACCCTTCAAAATATTTTGAATCGTTATTCGCGATATGCCTAACTCAAGGGACAATTCGAAATTCGATTATAAAAAAGTATACCTTTTTTGAAACCTAGTTTTACTTGCAAAACTTGTGTGGTTTTGTGTCATTATCGCTAAAAACAAAAAAGTTATAACGATATTTATGCGCAATTGTAGGTAATTCACCATAAAACGAAAAACGATATTATCTTGGTAACCGTAGCCCTTAGCTTAGAGCATTGCGGTTTCCATCAAAAGCCATCAAATAGCGTCCCCATTCGCCCAAAAAATTTGGTTGGTTCATGTACCAAACACTCTGTATATCCAAGTACGCGGTTAATATGTTGTTGTGTTCTTTCAATTCTTTGTCGTTGAAACGTAGGCCGAAAGCCACCATTGGCTCGTAAGCTCGCCACTAATCGGGGAAAAACTCTCACATCGCAGACGCCGATTTGTATATCGAGTCGCGTAAACTCTTTTTGCTATTGTGGCATTCTGAAGACATTCAGAATAAACGAAAGCATATCAACAGGTTTATCGTTCGTAAAACGCATTTGGTGAGCACAAAAATTGCTCAAAGTAACGGGAAATTATCGACAACCTATTGATGATTATTTATGTTCTGATTAGGTATTTGTTTTGTTGTATTCCATGGCATGCTTCTATGAATTGTCTTTTTCGTATATACAAATAGTGAATATGCATCTAAACAAAAAACATTTTGTTATTAGCATTACTTACTTACTTTTAGCGATATTTTGTAATATTTTCAAAAAAGGATGATTTTATTCTGATGAATAAACAAGAATTCCAGAAAAAATAGTTTAAAAAAAAATAAAAATTAAAGGAAGTTCCGATAAAACTTTGGCCACATCATATATTTAAACTATCAATATCGCATATTGTGCAGATTCTGTATTTTCGCCTATCATGCCTAACACCCAATGGCAATAGTCCAACCTCCGATCAAAGGCTTCCGCTTTCAAGGCCTGATGCAAAATCAACAACTCCATCATTCGTAAAAAGCATTTTGTAAGCACAAAAGTTCCTCAAAGTAACGCGAAACTATTGACAATTTGAGGATTTCCGCATAAAATTTCCATTGGCCTAAATTTTAGGTTAGGAACAAGATATCGAGATGCGGTTTTCGCGAGCTTGTTTAGGCATGATTTAGCTACTATCTATAAAAAAATCATGCCAATGCATTTAATTTTTTTGATAAAATTAACCATTTCTGTCGGAATGTCGAAAAAAAAAAACTTCTAGCGGCCACATGTCAAACTAACAAAAATTAAAATATTGTAACGTTTGCAGCCCAAGAATAGCTCTTTTTAGCTAGCCCAAGTTTGTTGAAATCGGCTCAGCCGTTTCGTTTCGTTTTTTACGGAAACATTTGAATACCCCCACCATTTTTAGAGTTGCAGCAAAAGTTATCAAGCAAAAACAGTTCACATTATCCTCATATTTATAGATCAGGTATTATTTTGTTAGGTTCATATAGCGGAATTAACAGAGACACCACTTTTTTTAGATTCAAGACTGTAGTTACGCCTCCTATCGCCCATTTTAGAAACTTGAGAACATTTTCCCGGTTTTTCTCTTGTCCATGTCATATTAGTAATAACTGTTTTTAGGTTTCCAGATACAGTAAACAGTACCCCGTATTCTTAGTTGACCACCCTTTAAATCCGCGATTTTTGTTGCGAATGAATTGAAAACTAAGTATTTGATTTACATACATATATGTATTCTGCTTCTGCATCCTTGCTTAAGAATAAAATTCTTATGATTGAGTCCGGACTTGGCAACTAAGTTTTTGGAGATTATTTTCTTTGAAAATATACCTACAATTTAATATGCCTCCTCGCGCCACTTCACTTTTATAAAATATCCAAATCCATACATGTAAAGATTATCAATTAAGTATGCAAAATTTGAATTAATTTTTGTTTTAAATGACTTACAGATTTTAATTATCAGTAAGCGGCAAAAACCAAGTTAACCTAAACTTCAGATGTCTTCTGGAACCAGTCTTTTTAAAAGGGTTTCCTACTACTAATAGATATATATTCTACAACTTGATAATGGAACGAAACTGATTTATGTAGAAGGCAACATAGGTACACATAAATAATCTACAATTACCGCAAGTCAGGTAATACAATACGAGTATAATCTACTTACCAAATTTAAAAATACATATGTAGGAACTGTCTTTGCTGAACGGTATATCACAGAACTTAATAAGGTACGCGATACTGTAGGTAGTTAGTGAGGAACACTGAGAACGTATGATAAAAAAATATCACATGAAAACCACAATATCTACAGCGCGGTTTTTTATCTGATTCATAGTAACATTTCTCATTGTAATTGAATATTGAGTGGCTGAATGGTTTGCTTTTGCCTTTTGCTCATCATCGATGGAGCACCTCGAACCGGCGCGGCGTCGTAACAAACGATCCGCAGAATCGGACTTGCAAAAATTGGAGCCAAAAATAATCTATTTTAGAGGTTTAGGGCATCTAGTGTTATACTTTCCATATATACTTACAGAGGTTCCTACTACTGGTATGCAATATCGGCAGTTGATACGCATGAAAAAATTGGGAGATTATATACAGTCACATTCATCAATGAAGTTTCATTTGCTTTGGCCGTCATGGACAACGGCAACGATCTCCAACTGTTGAAAGCAGATGGAAAGAAGACGTCTTTAAGACCCACAGTTTTAACGTATTTACAACGTTTTTAAGATGTCGTACATCCTTCACAAGACGTCTTTACGACGTCACTAATTTCTCAAAATGACGTTTTCAAAACGTATTTAAGATTTATAGTTGTGCTATTTGGGATGGGCGTAGGGCAAGTCAGTAGATGGTAGATGGCAGCAGATTTATCGATGCAGCTTCCTTAGAGACCTTCGTTGTACAGTTGACACAGAATTTAAAAGGCAATGTGAAGATTAACAGTGGCTATACGGTGAGGTTCAAGAGTGAGCCGTTGGCAACCGTGACCTCTTACTCCGGTTGCTAGGCAACGAGATGCTTCTATCTGTTTCTAGCACACGTATTGCACGCTTCTCGCTCTTCTCTCTCGTACACATTACGACGTCAGTGGTATTTGGTTTTCAGTGCATATTGTCGATACTCAGACTGTCAAACAAACCATTGCGTGTTCGGTAGCTCTGTAGCACATGCATGACTTTGACAGATTTGATTCAAAAAGGTGTTTATACCTTTAGGCTTGATAAAATGTAGGTTATAGGAAAACTAACAAAAGCTCACTGTATAGCATTTTGCGGATATTTTATTGTTTCGCAGGTAAATCCTGTGTAACAATACAAATGTGTGTAATGAGTTCGTTACACTAAGAACTTGCACGACTATCAATCGGATATATTGAGCAAGTTTTATCATTTACATTATTCCTAGATAATTAAAATGTTCGGAAAGTCGGTACCAACCTTTCAAGGAGTGATAGTACACTCGAGTTCGTCCACAATAAGCTACACCATAGTACAAAGTCGAGTGGTTTTTTAATTTATATATATTTGCCTGAATCTGTTACCTCTATTCTTTTGAAAACCGTTTTCCAAATATAATTGGTCAATTAAAATCAAATGGTGACCGACCAGAATGACTAAAGTTATCGGAAGATAATGGGATTAAAGAAGGCGTGAAGCAGAAAATAGCTATACGTCTGGGTTTTCTGCTGTCAAGGAGTCAATTTTGTTTGTTCAAACAATAAATAAAATCCTAATTGATGATTTCAAATCAGGGGTATGGAAGATTTTCGGTATTTACTTTTTCCAATTGTAATTTCCAAATTTAATTCATAAACGTGTACAGTAAATGATGCCCAATGCTACAAAGTAAACATTAGATATACGTTTTCTGGAAATACTTTTTATTTTTCATATTTTTTAAAATTAAGAACAGAATGATGGGGATCCGTTTTTTGGAACGCTTTAGAAATTCTGCCTGCAATTTGTAAAACTGTAAAGTACTGACCTGGAAATAAACTTCCAATCATCAAGTCAGTTCCTCGAGGAAGGTCAAACCGCTGTTGCCGAGTAACCGTTACTCTAACCTCAAATTCCCATCGATTTTCATCAGTGATGAATGAAAACAGTCCTGTTATAGTGCTCGACATAGGAAATACTTGAAAGAAGAAATTGCAGGGATACCTGAGTTGTATTTATAAGTTCTATTTCCGTCGGTGGATTATTCGATTGTGGTCGACCGGCAACTATGTACGCTAAGCGGACGACATTACGTAACGTACACATGCAATCTGGCACAAATCATTCCGGGTCTGGCATTTTTTCAGCAAGCGTCGTTTTTTTTTTCAGGGTTAGCGTCTGACTGTAGGTTAGATGAATCAGTTCACATTGAATTGTTGATGTCGCAAAGGCCTTGAGAGAAGAGTACCAAACAAAATGATTTACTTCATTAATTTTGATGATTGTGAAATGGGTAATGCCAGTGGCGCATACATTGGAGGCCGGGGGCAGTGCTCCCCTCCACGAGTGTCTCAAAATACCGATCACATTATGGGCAAATTTGCTAATTTTTAGGCTTAGGACTAGTGCCTACACAGCACATTAGGTTTCAGAGATATTTCTGGCATATTACATATTTGGGGTACAATGGGAAAAAATATTAATGTGACAAATTTGATGTTTTGTAGTTAGAACCGCCAACATGTAGTCGAAACGTAGTGCAATCCCATGAGGTATCGGAAACACGCATAAACAATAACACTCCGTAGTTATACCGAATTAAAAACTTGTGGTGCAGGGAGAAAAAGATGAATGCCGCAGCCGTTGTATGAAAAAAGGTGAACGTCGATTGATCGTCAACGAAACTAGTAGCTACTACGAGTACAACCTTTTACCATACACCAATTTGCGACGAAAGAAATAAACGTTTAGTAAGATCATTTTTAAGCAGTTACCATTAATTTTGTTTTCTTTGTTCTATATTTTTTTGAATTAAGCTTTATTTTGGTGCATTGTTTTTTCTTATCCCAATTAGAAAAATTATTTAGAAATAATTTTGTGTTTCAGCCATTGATGTTAGAAAATCACCTTTTTCTATTCTCTATTTCACGAAAAGCCATCATACTTTGACATCTACTGAGATGAACAGCTGATCAGCAAGTGACATTTTTGTGTTTGTAACGTTGGCAATAATGAATGGGGTATAAATCTAGTAAAAATTGTTGGTAGCGTTTTGTTTTTTGTATGCAAATGAACTTTTCTAAACAAAAGAGCTTTTAGCGAGTACAGAATAAATCTGTAGCGAACAAAAAAAACAAACTATGGCTCTGTCTACCTGGCATTGACGGATCTGTCAGAATTATGTGTCCTTTGCGAATATGGGGAATTTTGAAATATGATATTATTAGATAATCAGCCGTCATTCTACCGTAACGGATACTCCTGAAAAAGGCTATAATATTGTAGGCCGTGTGTAATGAATTTCCTGTTAAGGTTGTTCTCGTATTAAAACAGATCGTAAAACCTTAGATAGACATTTTGCTGGTTAATCAACCCTTAGATCTTACAGGTTGTGGCGTATGACGAAAGGCTCATTCTAACCTCAATATCTCAAAATTCGGCATGGACGCTAACACATAAAAGGATTTTCCATTAGGAAAATGGTATGCTTTCATCTTTGGGCTAACCTGCGTGCCAGACAAATTTACAATTAATTTTTTTTTAAATCCTAATAAGGAATCTATGGCACTCCGTCAGATCTTTGACCCACCCTATATAACGAGTCTAGGAAGCTTCAAACTTTTAAGTTTACTTTTCTTGAAACTCACTTTTTGTGACATTCATCTTTTTTCCCTGTACCCTTCATATCTTTCCCAATTTTAATCAAATTCAAGCGGATAACCAAATGAAAATGGTGTTCACCATTTTGGGTTGGTATTTACCGATCCGTTCAAGCGAGTGTGGTTATCAGTTTGGTTATAAGATCCGTGACGTCAAGAATCAGCTGTTATATGTCACAGTTATTACCGCAAAATTGTGGTATTTACCCAACTCAGGAGTATTGGATTATTGTGCTTCAGCTTCATTTTTGGGAAACTTGGTACAGACTGACTTCAGTGTTAGCATAAAGTGGAGCACTTTATTAGTTATAGTCATTACGGTTGTTGGGAACACTTACAATCTAGTTCCTATGTTTAACGAAGTATCCTGTGTAGCCATATACCACAAGAATATTAAAATATGGCCACTTAACTCACTGGATGATGTCCACCTGTATTCGGTTTTGCTAATATCTTTTTTCATCGTTTTTTCATCATTTCCGCTAAATCAATAAATGTTTTCTTTGCCATGGAGAAAACTTTAGAGAATTGAAAGCTATCATAGCTTCAAAACCATGGTTCCATCATTAAAAATTTTTTTCTTAAAAAACAAACATTTCTCTCATGAATATTATATGGAAGGTTTCTTATTTAAACTTTCCGTACACCGTCGTAGACAAAAAAGCACCGATTATCAAGTGATAATAAAAATAATCAGATATTATATACGCACTTTTCTAAAATAAAAAACTTGCAACAAAACCGCGGTCAAAACCAACGCGTTCAAGCGATTCGTGCAACTGACGTCATGAACCCGTGTGTCATCTTGAACCATATTATAACCGCGGCACATAACACAGAAATTTTGGTTATTCGCTTGGATTTGATTATTATATTTCACAATTGGTATTTCATACATCTTTCAGAAATATTGATTTTGTAACATTTCGCAATTTATGTTTGAGATAAATTAGTGAAATAAGGGAAAAGGAATATTCCATTTATTTTAGTCAATTGTACTTGGCGGAAAATGGCAATTTCCGATAGCGGATTTTTTAACGGAGAACCTAGGTCTGCACAGCGCAAAAAGATCGGTTTTAGATAAATTGCCGAATCGCCGAATAGCCAGTGATACATGCTTATCAACGACACCTATTGCCTTTTTTTTTTTGTCATTTTAGTCGTGGGAAGGATTTTTTGCCGTTACAGAAAGTCAGAGCCCATATTAGGTAATAAATACGCGCGTGACTCCGTTATTCAGAGGAAAGACTTCATATATTCGTGACGGGCAGATTATATACAGGGTGACTTCGAAGTTGAGTCATTTATTTTAACAGTGAGTAGATCTGATCAAAAGAAATGTTTTTTTCCTTTACCATTTTTCTGGTAAAATTAAAGTAACAAAGTTATAGCCCTTTGGAAGTTTGAGTACCGCCCTGTCTCAATAATAATATTATGTGCTCGTGTTTGGCGACAACGGATATAATCCGCCTTATCGGTTCATCGCATCGGAAACAAAAAAGCGAAAGAATTTGAAACGATGTTTTTACTACAATGTACAATTTTATTCAGTTGTTTTCAGTCAGTGTCAGTCGGTAACGCGTGACTGAATAGTAGTGTCTGTTGCGTGGCTCAAACGAAATAAAAAATGGCACATGTTTATGCGGATCGGGTTCCCAAACGAGTGCAACCAACCCCTAGTGCCTTTGTTAATGTAGTACAACGGGCTCGTGAATCAGGTGACGGCATGCCTGTGCTCCAATACCTCACGATCAAATACAGGTTCGCACTGAAATACTTGTCGGGAGGATACTTCATAAAACAAGGTAACAAATTTTTTTTTTATTTTTACACACATATTTTGGTTTATCTTCCTTCTACAATCATCATCTGAAAATTAATGACTCAACTTCAAAGTATAGTATAGATCACATCAGTCATTTAGATCGCTATAAATACCTGAATATCTCGCACAAGACTTGAAGATATTTTAAAGCAGTAGCATTCACTTGGATATCGGAAAGAATTGCGTCCGTGGAATTGTTGGTGGTGTACTCTGGAGCCGCAGAGTGGTTTTTAACCATTTTGACCCATATATTCTGTGACATTTGTGTCAGAAATTGTGAAAGTCGCACGAGTTAGTATCCGCAGGGCGCTACGAACAAAGCAGTAGGATATAACTAGGCTGAAGGCAAGAAAAAGAACATTATAGAAGAAAAAACAGTATCGCATTTGATATGAGTCAAGGTGTAAGAAAGAAAAATAAAAATCAAAATCATTCAGAAGGAGAAGAAGAAAAGAAAAAAGAAGGAAAAGCAGTACAATGTAACAGAGAATAAGAAATAGGTATTATTAAATGACATCATAAAAGCAAAAGAACAAATCACCCTATCCAAAGATGAGATAATTCTGGCAAAAGACATAATAATAAAGGAGCTATACGAAAAGAATTACTCACTGTATGAAAAAATTGCAACAATCATTTGCAGAACCAATGGTGAGATAGAAGAAAACGCCGATCATGATATTTGTATCAACAGAACAGAAGCTTTGAAACCGTCGTATAGTTCAGTCGTGAAAAAGGGAAGTACAAGTTCTAACAGCATTATTTTAAAACCAAAAGAAGTATACTAGGTGACATATAAATCCGAACACCCAGTTTAAATGGTTTTATTTTAATAAAAGTTGGTGAATGTATTTATCTAACTGTAAATAACAAGTGAAAAAATTTTCAGCCTTATCAGTTGGACATTCCGGTTTTTATACTGCTTTTTTTTAATTCACTAACGATCTAAAAATGAATATTTCAGCCGCAGTAAAGAATCAACGTTGGCGGATTTTGGTTCTTGACATCCTTTACGATCGGTTACGATGCCTAGAGTACGGAGACCTGTACGATTTCGTCAACTTAGTGAGTTTGATAGGGGCCGTATAGTGGGACTTCGGGAAGCTGGACTTTCTTTTCGGGCAATTGCAATTAGAGTGCAAAGAAGTGTAGACACTGTGGTTAGGTGTTGTCAGGCATGGCTTCGAGAAGGCCGTACGCAAAGAGCAAGGGGCACTGGACGCCGCCGTAGAACAACAGACCGTGAAGATCGCCGCCTAAGATTATTGGCCTTAAGGGACCGTTTCTCCACTACCAGGTCCATTGCAAATGAATGGTTTGCAGAACACGGAAGACCTATTGGCATGCGAAGTGTTTACCGACGAATGAGAAGTTTTGGCTTGTTTTCATACCGGCCACACTGGGTCCTCCCTTTAACTCGAGAACACCGACGTAATCGCCTTGAGTGGTGCAGACAACGGTCACTCTGGGATCAGGAATGGAACAGTATTGTCTTTAGTGACGAGTCTCGATTTTGTTTAGGCATGCACGATGGTCGTGCCAGGGTTAGAAGGCGACGTGGTGAAAGGAGGAATCTACAGTTTTTTGTTGAAAGACATGTTCATCACACTGTTGGAGTTATGGTTTGGGGTGCTATAGCTTATGGTTCCAGGTCACCTTTAATCTTCATCAGAGGTAACATGAACGCGCAGCGTTATATCCACGAAGTTCTAGAACCCCATCTTTTACCCTATCTTGACACCCTGGCAGATCCAACTTTCCAACAAGATAATGCCCGACCACATATTGCAAGAGTCACAATAGACTTCTTTCAACATAATGATGTCACATTGTTACCATGGCCACCAAGATCTCCCGACTTATCCCCAATTGAGCACGTGTGGGATATGATGGGTAGGAGATTGCTCAATTTGCAACATCCTCCTCAGACTCTAGAAGCACTTCGAGAGGAGTTGGTGGTTGCCTGGAATGAGATACCACAGGAGGACATTGACCACCTGATTAGAAGCATGCCCAGGCGCGTTGGAGAATGCGTAGCACATCAGGGTGCATCCACACATTATTAAAGGTCAAAGGGCTTTAAAGCAGTGCAATCATTTTGAAATTTTTATCATTTACTTATTATGCTTCATTAAGTACTTATACAAAATTTTATTAAAATAAAACCATTTAAACTGGGTGTTCGGATTTATATGTCACTTAGTATACAAGTCATGCAAACAAAAAAATATATCGTGAAGCTTTTGACAAACTAAATTGCACAGTAATGAGGAAGAAGCTTGAAACAGCAAGACGCAACATAAATTACTCTATATAGCAATCAAAGGACAAGTCGGAAAATTCATCGAAGAGTCCAATCATTGCTTACAGTGAAGGCGTCACGAAAAATTGTAGCACACTAAACGTAGCACAGTGAATATTAGATCACTTATTCCAAGCGTTGATATATTTTCAGACGTTATGCTAGAGCACAACCTTCATATTATAGCAATAACAGAGACTTGTCTTACACATGATTTTCCTTCGGATTTAATTACTCTGCCAAATTACCAGCTGATTAGAAATGACAGAGAAGAAAGAGGAGGTGGAATATGTTTTTAGATCCAGACCAACATAAAATTTATAGTCATAGATTGTAACAACATTTCTTCGAATGGCATTGAACAACTGTGGTTATCGCTAAAACTATTGCATTAAGTCTACTTTCTAGCCTTGAGAATAACCTTGCATCTATATGCATGATCCATGCTGAAGTTATACTGATGGGCGATGTGAATATTAACCTCACCGATAAGTCTTCCAATCCCAATAAAAAAAAATTTCAAACCATGGCATTATTCAATTTCGTTCAGGTTATTAACGAACCCACAAGAATTAGCAAGAATTCAGCTACAATAATTGTTGTAATTTTTGTATCAAATACATTGCATGTGCGCAAGAGTGGCACTATAGGCATGGGAGACATAACTGATCACAGGTTATGCTTCTGTGAATTGAAGATTGAAATTCCAGAATACCCTCCTAAAACATTTTATTGTCGTGACTTTTCCCACTTTAATTATGATGAATTTGCTAGGGATGCAACTGCTGTGAACTGGCATGATATAAATAATCTATAAAGTCTTGATGATAAAGTCCTCTATCTTACTGAGAACATTACCTTGCTGTATCACATACATGCTCCGATGAAAAGAATTACACCTCATAAGTTCTATAGGCCGTACGTCACATATACAATAGAATGAATAATAAATTTAAAATGAAAAGCTTACAATACATTTAAAAGAACTAGATCTGAAACAGATTGTTTGTTTCATAAAGATCTTAGAAATTACTCAGGTGTGGCTTTAAGGAATTAAAAAACAGCTTATATAAAATATCAACTAAATAAGAACAGGAATAATCCCAAGCAACTATGGAAAGACTTCGCTAAATGGAATATACATCAGAAATCCACTAATCAGATATCTCAGGGCATTGAAGACGCAGATGCTATCAACAATCACTTTGTGAACTTGTTGCCAAACATTCAACCTGATGAGTTATTTCTTAACACTTTATCTGTTTATTGCTTTGGAGAAGAGATGTTCACTTTGCCAAGTTTCCTTACGCAACAATGCCTATTTCAATATTCTAGTTCATACAACGTCTAAATTCAAAAAATTCAAAAACCGGCCCAATTCGGTACTTCCCTCCATTGTTTAGCATGACTGCGAATATGGCGACAAACAATTTTGTTGTCGATCTATTTATATCCGAGATTGAAAATCGCCCTGCTATTCGGGATATGAGAAAAGACAAAGGCTTGGTAAGAAATGTGTCTAAAATTTGTTCCAGACTTTGATAAAAAGGAAACAAAAGAAAAAAATAATGCAGGTAAGATAAACATTTTATTATTTTATACGGACTTATAACGTTAATATTACATTATACTAGTTTTTCTTGCCAAGTAAAAAAATAATCCTTTAAATTAAGTTGAGTCATTAATTTTCAGATAATGATTGTAGAAGGAAGATGAACCAAAATATGTGTGTAAAAATAAAAAAAAATGTAACCTTGTTTTATAAAGTACCCTCCCGCCAAGTATTTCAGTACGGACCTGTATTTGATCGTGCGGTCTTGGAGCACCGGCATGCCCTCCCCTGTGAGGTCTTAATGAGGTCTCAAGTCACCTGATTCACGAGCCTACATTAACAAAGGCACGAGGGGTTGGTTGCACATACATTGACTGAGTACAACTGAATAAAATAAATGAATAAAACATCGTGATAAGCGTTTCAAATTCTTTCGCTTTTTTGTTTCCGATGCGATGAACAGATAAGGATTATATCCGTTGTTGCCAAACACGAGCATATAATATTATTATTGAGACAGGGCGGTACTCAAACTTCTAAAGGGCTATAGCTTTGTTACTTTAATTTTACCACAAAAATGTTAAAGGAAAAAAACATTTCTTTTGATCAGATCTACTCATTGTTAAAATAAATGACTCAACTTCGAAGTCACCCTGTAAAAAGTAAATCCTGAAAACTGTAGCCATCTCTTTGACGAACAAAATTGTGTAATATACAACACGCTTTTACGATATTTTCGGCAAAAGATATGGAAACGTTTAGGGGGCAATGCAAGATCCTCCACTTATTTGTTTATCCCAAAACTACATTCGAATCAGCGTCTAGCACGAGACAATTTATAATTGAAGATCCTTTTTCCAAAATCCAAAGGTTTCCCAGAATATGGTCTTAATGCTTCGTCACCAACACATGAATAGTTGCAATAATACAAGTTTCCAGAGATTTTTCTAGGAGAAGGAATATTAAGTGTTCCTGCTCGCATTTTATTAAAAAGTAGGCTTTCTTTATATACAGTTGAGTCTGAACCTACATCTACAAAGGTAAACAAATAATTTACATCGCAAACAGCGAGAAGGACCAGGGAAAAGAAATGCTTGTAATTATAGTATCAGGATCCACTTTCTAGAGGCTGAATTATTCTAATATGCTTTCCATCTATCGCGCCCAAACAGTTAGGAAAGTTGGTAAACTCTTCAAATCTCCTCGCTATATTTTTCCATGATTCTGTTGTTGGTTCTGGTATGCAGACATCTTTTAATTGATTCCAAATTATTTCGCATGTTTCTTTCACAATCATTCTTGCTGTTGATGAACCGCAGCAACACAAATTCAAAGTCACCAAATGTGCAACCAGTTGAAGTATATCTAAAATTTTATTGGTATGTGAATTATTGACATGCACTATAAATTTCGATTCATTGATGTTGCTTTTAGCTAGCCAACTACAACGTAAGTGGAAAAGCCTTCGAGGCAGCTATAACAGAGAGCGAAATAAGCAAAAGAACAACAAGAGCGGTTCTGAACATCTAGTAGAAAAAAATATGTTTTTCTCCAACAACTATCATTCTTATCTACACTAGCGGAAACGAGGCCTGAAACTCAAAACACTGAGCATGAACAAAATCTGCCATCGACAGTTGAAGCTCCTACACAAGCAAGCAGTAGGAAAGGCTCTAAACGAACATTAGACGTAGAGAAGACAGAACTTGAAATACTAAAGAATATCATTGAAAAGTGTCAACAAGATGATATTGATGCCGATCGCAGCTTTTTATTATCTCTTTTGCCAGATCTTAAAAGAATTTCCGAAGATCACAAATTGGATCTAAAGACAGACATGTCATTCGTTGTGAAAAAATATAAAAACCAACAAAATCGTTATCAGAATCAGGCTCAACAATATGGGTATTACACACAGACTCCACAACCTATCCCATCTCAGGCATTTCCATGTGAATATACCAATTTAGAATCAGTGTCTGTTTCTGGACATTTACGTGAGTACAACACTGAGAGAGATTATTTTGCAGCTGGTCCTTCACATGAAATCAATGCAACGATTCCAACCCCGACTCCATCTCCTACACTTTCTACATCTCATTCACTTTCTGATACTTCTGTTATTGAAGATATGTTTTATGGCAATTAATGGAAAGTAGTTCATATTTCTATATAATTAATTAAATATAATAAGTTGTTAAGAAAGTAGCAGATTTATTGAATTGAATATTTAGATGAGGATAAATAATTTAAAAGTAACAATCTTCATACTCACCTTAATGTTATAGCCAATCTTTCTACAGGTGTAATATTTTTCCTCATTCGTGTATCTTGATGTTTTGAATGGTCTTGAAGCAGCGACAGTGATTCATTGAAAGTTCCTAAGGACATTCTAAAATACGTGAAAAATATGTCTTCGTGAAGTTTAAGGTCTTTAAAAAGATTGTAAAAGTAGCCATTTATTTCGCGAGTTCTCAAGACTGGATGAATCCAAAATCGCCGATATCTCTATAATTGCCAGATCCGCCGTCTGCGCTTTCTTCTTAATATTATTAACACAACCAACAAGTCCATCTTGAACTAGCTAACTGAAAATATTCTCGATAAAACATGTATAATTACGGCATCCACTGGATGCTGCGTAAAGATACTTGTCACGGCCACCGGTAGCAACTATTAGTGGCCGTATCGAACTACTTGCAGGTGGCGATCGCAAGTTGCTGTGTGTGCGATCGGCCTAAATCAGCCTTAACATCAAGCAATATCGATTAGATTGAAATGGATTTCACTCAGTTTTTGTTTAAACGAGGCAAAAGTGGCATCTATGGGAGTAGGAATGAATCACATTCTTACAAATTCTTCCACGATGTGACGGGTTCTAAAAAGAGTTTCACTAGTTTTCGCCATCCCACCGCTAGATGTCACTGAATGGCTTGGATCGTAATTATAAGTATTGGGATTTATGGATTATAGTTTTCTACCTAGTATCATCAATTATTCTGATATTCTCGGTTTTTGACAAAAATGATACGGCTGAACTACTTCAAAAAACGAGATCAAGCAGATTGAATCAGTACTTCCTACGCCCCGATATAAATCTACTATTTATCATTTTAGATATACAAAAATTTCAAACGCAAGGACGCGAAGAACTTTTAAATATGTAATTAAACCTTAACGTCAAAAATGGGATATTGACCTTTGAGGTGATTTTGACATAGATTTTAACAAAAAATCCTTAGATTAAAATTGTCTGTTGGATGTGTTAAGCTCATATACACTGAAGCCGGTTATCAAACAACCTACGCGAGGATCTAATTGCATAGACAATATTTGTGTAGGGGTGGATGTAAAGTGTGATACTGCTCTAGCAAACAATGATATTAGTGATAAATTTTGCTCAATTATTAACTCTATACTACCAAAAAGATGAACAGCCACCTCAGATTTCCTACCATTACCAAGACCTGTATAATAAATCCAACGTCAACAATTTTTTAGCTCTCCTAGGTCAAGAAACCTGGGACCATATTTATCATTCCGCTGGGGATATTAATGAGAAGATTGATTTATTCCTGCAAACGTTTCAATATTACGTTGACATAGCATTTCCAGATATAACCAAAACTGTAAAAACAAGAACCAGAAAACGATGGATTACAAAAGGTTTCGTAATATCAAGAGATAACACTATCTGTATGATTTGTCTAAGATGGGAGATGTAGGTATTTCTTATCGATTTCTATAAAAAATATAAAATGGTATATGCCAGAGTTTTAAGGATAGCTAAGCGACTATATTACAAAAAAATGATACTAAATGCAAAAAATAAAACAAACAGTGCTTGGAATCTAATAAATGAAAACAGAAACACACCTAAGCACTAAATCGTCAACTGAAATATAGAAAATAAAATAATAACAGAAACAAAAGAGATTGCCAAACAATGTATGCAGGATTTTAATAATATTCCAGGCTCATATGAACGTAATGGTACAGGAAATAATGGAAATAATATAGAAAGAAACAGTCACTCTTTCTGTTTTCAACCCGCTGTAAGCCGTGACATAATATCAATAATAAATAACTTTAAAAACTCCAACTCTACTAGCCCATCTAGTTTCCTTAGCCAACCTCTAGCATTTTTAATTAATTGTTCCATGGAGGACGGGACATTTCCAGATAAATTTAAAGTTGCCAAAATCAAGCCCTTGTTCAAGTCGGGTGATAACTAATTAGTCCCTTTGCGAGTATTTGAGAAATATGTGTCCTTGCAAATTGTCAATTTTTTGACAGTTTCAAATTATTCAACAGAAGATAGTTTGGATCTAGAAAACGTTTCTCAACCAAAAGCGCTGAGCTTCATTTTCTTGATGAACTGTATTTGAAAATGGACAATGCCGAAAAGTGTGTAAGAATATTTCTTAAATTGAGTAAAACTTTTGACCTAGTTGACCATGTAATACTTTTGGATAAATTGGATAGATATGGAATCACAGGTATGTCATTTGACTGGTTCCACAGTTATCTAAGCAACAGAAAACATTATTTTGACGTACTGACTGCACAGTCTGACCAGCACCTATATCATACAGGTGTTCCACAGGGCTCCATACTTGGTCCCCTCCGATATATAATATAAGTCAATGACTTTCCCTCCAAATCCTCGGTAACGTGAGCTGACTCGTACCTGCTTACTTGTTAATGGAAAAAATCTGGAGTCAGTGGTAAGAAATGCCAACACAAGCTTAGCTGGTGCAGAGCAATGGTTCATTAATAACAGCTTGGTCTTAAACCACAAAAAGACAGTGTTCCGGAGATTCAACTACTCTAATATGCACATGGATCGTAGTCTCCTTATAAAATCAAGCGGTAGATCCATGGAACAAGCCGAAAGGTTTACCCCTCTTTGCTGTTGCATGTACCAGCTGAGATTTATCGTTGATAAGTGAATATTGTTAATGTTTTACCATGCACATATCCATTCTACTCCAACTTATGGACTAAAAGCGTGGGGAGCATCCTTCAAGTGCAAGGTTTTTTATACTACAAAAAGAGCTACTAGAACTATTGCAAGGTGGGAAGGCGCTTTGGTTGCAGGGACCTATTCACAGCTTTGAAGATATCAACGCTGCCTTCAGTATACCTACATATTAAATATATTCATTTACGACAAAACACACCTGGACAATTTTAGTTCTATAAATTCTGGAATTTATAATACCAGAAACAGAGAAGTGTTGGAGGTGCCGGCGCATAGGTTGTCTAGAACGAACGAGATTCGAAAATACATGGCAATAAAACTCTTCAACAGACTACCCATTGACTTTAAATCACTACCACTGATACTCGTATTATTTAAAAAAAGTATCAGGCAAATTTTACTTGATACAGCTTTCTGCTCTATAGAAGAGTTTTTAATGTGTGATAGCCTTTTTGTTGTAATGTATTGTTCAATTTTAATTTGTTAATTTATTGTTATTTTAATTCGTTTTCATGTTAATACACTTCGTGTTTTTATTTGATGTTTTGAATGTTATTCATGTATGTATGTATGCAATTCTGTTTATACTAATATTCAATTGACTTATCGTATATCACTTTGTGATCCACAGGATGAATAAATTATCATTATTATTATTATTTTAGTGTTTTCCTCTTGTCCTATTGTGACAGTCTTAAGCGAATCCAGATCTCTACCCGAGATCAAAGCGATTCACCCTAATACCTTGCGGATAATGTGAGCAGTGCCCAGTAGTGCTATTTTCTGCACTTCAGCAACAGATGGTTTTCCTGGTAGTTGTGAGAGGTTGGTCTGTAACCCCTTTCTAAGGGTCCCTAGGGCTCCTACAATGACTGGAACTGTTCGGGTCTTAACGTTCCACATTCTGCTTACCTCTATTTCCAGGTCTTTATACTTGCTTAACTTTTCTGCTTCCTTCAGCATTACGTTCGAATCGTTAGGAACCGCTACATCTACTAGTAAGCAGGTTTTTGTTCTTTTATCAAGATACACTATGTCCGGGCGGTTCGCAGGTATGGTTCTATCAGTGATGATGGGAACATCCCACATGATTCGAAAATCCTCATTGTTTACAACTTTATTATTTTCTGGAGTGTGTTATTATTATTATTATTATTATTATTATTATTATTATTATTATTATTACTATTATCAATATTATTATTATTTTTGGTTGGTCTTTCACCGTTAAACACGGGGTATGTACACAACAGGGGAGGAATTAATCTCAGCCTATTGCGAAGAACTTGCGAACTATGTGACATGTTTGCAAGATTGCGGCTTTCTGCATCAATGCAATAAAATGCGCTGGAACTTTGATTTTCTCTAAGTGAGAGTGGAGATTTAGAGAGACTGCCCCTTTCACAGACACTACTACTGGTATGATGCAGAAGTCTGATAGTTTCCAAATGTTTTTGATTTCAATGGCAAGGCTTTGGTACTTTTCAGCCTTGGTGTATTCGGTTCTGATATGGCGTGGTTCAGTGAATGAGATTATAATTTTGAGCTTGAGTGTATTATTTTGGCTACTTGGTTATGCCAGGATAAGTAAGCACTATTGGCCAACATGTTGCAGCTGGAGGTGATGTGTTCTATTGTTTCACCTGGCGTATGGCATTTTCTACATACGTCGTGTGTATTCAGGCCTAGTATATGGCGTTCATACTTTCTAGTTCGAATAACCTTATCCTGAATAGCACATAGAAAACCCTCCGATTCCGGATGTAGGTAGCCTTTCACAAAAATTGATAGTGAGGACTTTTTATTATTATTATTATTATTATTATTATTATTATTATTATTATTATTGCAACAACATTTTTTAAAAATATTGTGCTGTATGGTAGGTTGTTGGTAATGAAATAGAAATAGGAAAACTTTAACGTTCTGTGCACGGAGAACTGTCCTTCCGAGAATAAGTATGTCGTGAACAAGAATAAAGCTGTAGATGTTATGAAAATATTTTTCATCAATAATATTACAGCTCCAAAATCCGATATAAGTTCTGAGCTTTTTGACAAAACGATTTTCCTCGTCTATGACAAGGAACAAAACGATGTTTAAACTTTTTATCCACTTTTCAGTAGCGCAGTGCTAAATAGGTCAAACGAGAGGCAAACAATACCGTTCTGCTGTAAAGTCGTAATAGTTAATAGAAATAGAGAGCCGGATAAAAAGTGAATTCGTCGAAAGAAGGCAAAAACTTTGTCCATAAAATGAAGCGCGGTTAGTGAAGCGTTCAAATGCTCGTCAGCCACCGCCCTCCTTTCTCCTTGTCGTTTTTATCACTCTTTGGCTGTTCTAAGGGCGTACGAACGAGAATTAAATTATGACCACCAAGGATGCATATTGTTTAAAAAATGCTGTCAAGCTGATTGACTCCAAATTGGCCCTCCAGAAACTTTGTGGGAAATTGCTTTCGGCTAACTGGTCGAATAATTCACTATCCTTACTAATATTATAAATTGTATTTGGGAGCACATGGCTAGATGATAAAAAACTGGATTTACGCGGATACTTTTTTAACAACGGTGGAGAGCATAATTATGTATTAATGAGAAAATATGTATGGGAAAAACATTCTTGATTGATTAAAATTCCTTAAAAACTTCACAGATTCACATCTTGAGCTAACCTAGAATTATTGGTGTGGTCAAGAGGTTATGATTTATGTGTGATGTTGGTACTATTTGCAGGTACTTGTGGTGGGGATCCATTATCTTTGTTTAGTCTGTTACCAACCTAGGGCAGAAAGTGTGCAATACCTTCTTAAAAGGAGCGTTAG